ATATATATATATATATATATATATATATATATATATATATTATTTCAGGAAACTGACGACAGAAGGATCTCTCGATTTCGATTTCCTTCGAGTTTCGCGCTCGCACCATCGTAGCTACAAACGGTGGTCGATAAAATAAGCAAATCCTAAGTAAATACCACAGTGAATTCGATCCTAATTGAGTACAGACCTTCCCTGAAACGCGTTGAATGTTCTAGACTCTTAGGCTTGCGTAAAATACGCCAAGTACTAATTTAATTAATAATAAATAAATATAAACCGATCGCTGAAAAAGAGAAAGTTGCAACACAAATCCGGAAATCACTGTGCCAGGTGCTTGCAGAACTCGAAATTTAAATAGAAGGTAAAAAGATCCATTGAACTGTTGCGGAATACGAATTTGAAATTTACAAGCTGCCTCTTTGCAAACTGTCAATCGAAAGATTGAACGATTTCGTTTTTTAAGCGATTGCGATCTTTTGACAATTATTACAGGGAGAAAGAAATGACGACGAGAGCTTTATGTGCAAACGATCCATAAAATAAGCCTCGGTGAATTCGATTCTAATTATATATCCTTCCTCGAAGTGCGTGTAGGATAATTTAAACGCGCAGCGAAGATTAGCACCGCGATCAAATATCGAATTTCAATTTTCCATCGTGTAAACCAGGCGTCAGGCATACACGTCGTGCGTCGCAAATTCGCGGATTATCAGTGTCCAGAGGATGGCTGGTGAGGCTCGATACAAGTTTCCGACCAGGAGGCAACGTCGTTTATTTCGTCAGCGTGGAGCAACAACACGATCGGCGATTTTCTATCCACCTGTGCGCGATCCGCTTATAACAGGAAGTGGCGAGTCGCTCGGCGAACGCGGTGTTACTGACACGGACGCCATTTGTGGGAACAGCATGGGGCGCCGTTAGAGCACCGACAACTTGTCCAATGAATCTGCGAGAGCCGCTTTATGTCTCAGTTACGCGCCACGATAAATTGTATTTTATCTCGATTCGATTTCCTGCTTCGCTGCCGGCTCGTCTGTGTACCTGTACACAGGTGCGAGACGCCTCGAAACAGGATGGAAAAACGATGATGGGTGCAGACTGTAGAGAGAAACACCAGTGACGAGTTGAAGAGGATCGTGACAGGGGAAGTATGTTGTTATGCTCGACCATTTGTGAAGCAAATTATTATTTATTGAATGCATCATTTCGTTTTTGTTTTTATTTTTCTTTTTTTTGTTTTCAATAAAATGCAGATAAAAGGAAAGTGTTGTGATAATTTTTGATCATTTGTGGAATAAATTATTCATTGCATACACTGAACTGATTTGCTTTAAGATGAGGTCAGATTATGCAGATTGAAAAAGTTTCGTGGTAATTTTTCAAACTGATGGTTTGAAGAATAAATTATCCGTAGAATGCACCGTTTTTTTTTTTTTTTTTTTAGAGAAGATATCTAAATCAGTATTTCCATACTGATGGAAAGATAATATTGTAGTAATTTTTTATTATTTTTGGTATAATTTATTACTTGGATGTGGTGCTTGAATTTATTAAATTGTTTCATTTCATTTAACTTTAGAGGAAGAGTGACGTTGCGGTGATATTCGATTATTTATGAAATAAATTATTAATTGGACGTGGTCCGTCCAAATTTATCGAGTTCTTTTATTTAAACTGATCGTACGAAGGGTATCTTGATTGAATAAATTTGCGAAATTAATTAAGGAAGAATGAAGAGGAGGCAAAAGAGAATTTGATGACGTTGACAATCGTGATTAATTGCAAATTGTAGCACAATAATTTGGAGCGGATGCGGAGCCACAATTTTGAATAACAAATAAATGACAAAATGTCAATTATAATTTAATTATTAATTACTTATTATATGAATGATTTAAATAGAATGATTTCGTATTTCAAAATAAATCAATCACTTGTGTGATATTTTAGTAAATATATCTAAATTCCGTAAAATTTTCGTTTCACGTAATAAATGGCAACTTTCTAAATAATAACAAGTCTGCTATCCTGATATTTCGTGGGTTGAACGGACACGCGAATCCTCCCCCCCTTTAAACACCAGTTTCACGTTAAATTCATGTTTTCGAAAAATTACACTGTCACGTTGCATCCCTGCGTTTGCACGTTTCATTCGTCCGCGATTATTTTACAAGAGAAAGGCGACAATTTTCGCGACGCAGATAGGAGACAGGTGACAATCAATAGCGGCGCGGGTACGTATTTATCGAAGTTGACGCGCAGGTAAGAATTGAATTATGCAAAGCGGCATAATAATGCGTTACAGTCAACCCTATCCTTCGCTAACCGACATAAGGGGCAACTAACGTTATCATACTGCGCTAGTGCGCTCGTTAAAAACCGTGCATCTCTCGTTTAAAACTATCCTTTCATCTAAATGGCATTTTCGCGTTCGTCATAATTATACCCTTACATTTCCTTAACCATGTCCATTATCGTTTCCATCGTAAAAATATAGATATTCTGTTAAATCGTTCGGCGAAACCATTCTCACTATACTCCATGGCCCCCGATGAATTACGATAATTCACCATTCTCGAATTTTTATGTTTCAATTTTCCTCTCGTCTCGACGTATGGAAAAGCTTTCTATACTTAAAAGAAAGTAATATACGATACAGTAGTATATGAAGATCAGAAATTTTATGTATGTGTATTCTTTCATGTTTTGCTCAATTTTGAAGAACTTCTTTGATCATTGGAAGATTATATACATTGAATTAATATTAATGAAATTTACATAAGTTGTAAGATTATCCTAGTTATTGTACTATAAATATCTGATAATTATATAACAGTCTTAATTATTATACTGACGAATATAAATTATCTGATTATCTAGTTATTACGTTTAAAGGAAAATTGCGAAAAGAAATCTGTATGTTACGACTTGCCAAATTATTAACACATCATTGTTATCAGTTGGTAAATTATTATGCAAAAATCAGTCGTAATTCATATTTCAACTTTCGGCTTGCTGATTTTACGCATCTGCTGACTTTTCTTCTGTACATCTTTACGTCGACGGATTTTATAAATAAATAAAGTCAAACCTCAATCAAACTCTCCACGAGTCATCTGTACGACCATTCCAAGTCCACTACGAGCAATCAACCCTACGATCCAAGTCCACATACTACGCAAACAAACGCCCGTGTAAAACAAATTCCCTCCACCTTGGAGCGTTCCATTTCTCTCGCGAAATTCGAAACGTCCCCAGCACGCGTTCCCCTCCCCCCAAACTTTCTCCACGAGGTTCACGCGTGCAGCCTGCCTTTCTGTCTCGATCGAGAAAGAAAGAAACGAAAGGCGGTGCAGAGAGAGAGAGAAAAAAAAAAGGAGAAGAAGAAACGCGCGGGAAAAGAAGGGGACGACGTGTAATTATTTTATCCTTTCCAGCGTGTAATTCGAGGCGGTGCCTCGCGCCCAAGAGTCGACTAGCGATCACGGTAGCCCGGAGGGCCGTGTGCCTCGGACAAGGCGGAACCGGGGGTGCAACTGACAGCGAAAGACAATTAGCCTTCTGATACATCCGATGTCGCCTGGCTGGATACGCGGAGGCGCGTTGCAGGCACACGCAACACTTTGGGGGCAGGGGTGCACGATTGTTCGTGGCAATCGAACGGGTCCTTCGACGCGGCTTTTCAAACGTCGCGTAATTGAAACGGTGATTTTTGTATCGTTGGTCTTGTATTTCGGGGGCTAATTTTCGGCTCGCTTTGTGGCAGACGTTGATGTTTAATTCGAGAGATTTGGAGGGGTGAGGGAAGTTGGTTCCACCGGTGATTTATTTAAGATGTGATAGAATCGAAAGAATAAATTAGAATTTGATATGGAAACACTATTTATGGTGGCGAGACCAGAAGTTGGCGGTGAGCAGTAATTCATTCAAGATACGATAGAATTAAAATCCGTCGAAATTACACTTGTTATATTTATTATTATTCGTGGCTCAGGGGTGGATATATTTCCAAGAAATAATAGAATAAAAAGACAAAAATTCAGGGGAAGGAACAGCATAAGATAAAAACTTCATTCTAACATTTTCTCGTATTGTTATTCCAAAATTTTTCATATTTTAAAATTCTTTTCCAAGGAGAAGATTTCTTTTATTCTCCCGCGCTTTAAAAATTCCCCTGCCGAAAGCAAAGATTTCGTCACTCCACAAGGCATGCAACCCCTGTTAAAACCCGAATTCTTAGCCACGTCTCTGCTACTGGTCGAAATTGAACACACAAATCAGGGATAAACGCTTACCATTCCGAGCTACGGTCGCTGCAAAGGAGCGTGTTGCGACACCGTCTTCGTCGTCGTCGTCGTAGTTGTCATGGTCGTTGACGACGTAGCCGGTAATCTCACTCTATTAGGGTGGTATTATTTTCCGTGGTAGACATCAAAGAGGATTTCCCGTGGGCTCATTGTATCGCGGCGATAATTCCTCGTTATTAGGAGCGGTGCCGGGAGCGGGTCTCATGTCGGCTTACCACACCCTAAGTGCCGAAACAAATCCTCGCCGAATTGGAGCCGATGCAAAGGAGCAAAGACGCCATGGACCAGCGATGACAAAGGGGAGGGAGAAAACGCGATCGTCGCGACTAATCCCCCGTGAAAAATGCGACGCAGGTGAAGCAGGTGAGGTGCCGGCGAATAAAGGGAAACTGGGAATTTTCAACGAGGCACGGCTACGGATTCGATCAAGTGTTACTCATCGGATTGAAATAATTAGATACCTCCGAGGGGGGTGGATACGCGTGGATACGTGGGGGATCTCGCGGTAATTCAGTGAACGAGCAGATCGGCAGAAGAGCAGTTCTGTTGTATTGATGGATGAGGAGTTTTTGCTCGGTGGTTTTTGGAGAAATTGGGGTGAAAATAGTCGTCGATTCAATCCATGGGGGATCGGATGCTTTATTTGATGTTTGAAACGAGAATGAGGATTGGTTTTGTTTATTGTGGAACGTTGTCATTACGTTGTTAGAAGGGGTATGATATTTTTAGAGAAGAGGGTTGGGGTGAAATTGGTCGCAAGCTTTCTTCTCGGGGATGCTTTGTTTGATGTTTGAGAGAAAAATTTTTTTTTTTTTTTTTGGAATCGGAGGTATCGGTTTTATTTATCGTCATAGTAAGGGAAGATTTTTTTTTTAAAAAGAAATATTTTCGCGGAACAAGAAACAATTTTTTGGAAAAAAAATTACAACTTGGCATTGATGATGAATTTTATCGTCGTTTTCAACATTTTTATCGTAGTTAGTATGAGTGAATATGAACGAAATCAGAACTTACATTCGTTCTTTCGAACTTTCTAAAGGAATCAATAATACTTATTGTTAGCTCGCGTATTTCATACTTAGTTCAGAACTTCGTAAGAGCAAAAGCAATCGCACATACGGTTTATCAATCGAGAAAAACCAGAGTTATTCGCGCACGTTGGCAGTTCCGGCAAATTAAAAGGATTCCAGGGTCCGAGTTAATCAAGGATCAATAACACGGTAGACCGAGCTCGGCCCACCGAATAAGACATAAATTCCCTGACATTCCTGTTCTCCGTTTAATCATAAAACATCGCGTCCGCCGTTTTATTTAGCCATATATTTTTCTCCACAATGGTCCAATATCCTTCTCCTGCGTAATACAGCCGGTGGCTTTCTAACGAAGGGAAGAAAAAGAGGAAGCTCGAAAAACGAAAAAGAAGAGACAAAACATTTCGTTCGCTGTCTTTTAAAGAATTCGTACCTGAGGCTTTTAAAAAATCTCGTCTCGATTAAATCAAGTTACTTGAAGTTAAACTTTCAGTTTCTTTCACTCAAAATTAATTTGAAACCACTTTCATCGTGCTCCTCAAGTTTCTTCAAGAACTTCAAATCGTAATATCGTTTCAAGTTTACTAAAAACGCAATGTTTCATTGCATCGACAGCTCGAACACGTTTATAATTTCAAACATTTCAATTCTTCCGTTACACGTGATTTCTATAATAAAATCTTCACATCGAATATTTCACAACTTTCGTTTCCTCCGCGACGTTCGACCACGATTCGAGCCGTTTGAGTTTCAACTTAACTATAACTTACCCGATTCGGAAGAGAGAATATAGACGCGAGACCGGCGAGGGTCAGGTCAAGAGGACTCGTACAGACAGGCCAGTTGAA